GTATTTTGGTAACTATGTTACCTATAAGACTTATTGGAATATAATAAAGTAATTTGGACTACGTGAAATATAAGTAGACAAAGGGAAATTTATAAATAAACACCAAAAACAAATGAAAAAAACTATTAAAGACACACACCAAAAAAAAATGTCTTTGTATATAGTATTTTTTTTTTAAAAAAAAAAATTAGAAGTAACGGAAGGACGCAGAAGTGACAAATAAGTGATTTGGTCTTTGTGAACTTGTAAGTTGTAATAAACTGAAAGTAGAGGGTATATTTCAAATCTGGGATCGTCAATGTTGGTAACATCTTCTAAGAGGGTGATTTATGTGCATATTGGGCCGAGCTAAGTGCAACTATTGAAATGGACCGAGCTACGGGCTGAGGTAATGAAGCTTGGTCTTTTATCCCGACAGTTCGATCAGAGACAAGCTACTAGTGGCCTGGTCTGGCTGCCTTGGACCGAGGCATCGTTGGAAGGAGGACCGAGGTATATGATAGCTCGACAGGGCGTCGTCTAAACAGTAAAGACTTGTTGTGTTGTCTAAAGTAACACCAAGCTGTGTGAGTACAGTTAAGTCTAGCGTAGAACACAACCATGGTAGCTCAGTGCGCTACCGAACCGAGGTATGAGGTTTGAACTATCTCACTTGGTTAGCAGTGAGTAGGGCGTTTTAAGGATAAGCATTTATCCTTGGGAGTGTGATTCCTAGGAGGACTCTACTGAGGAGAGTTGGAGTCCTACTAAGAATGTGCCAAGCAGAAACCACAAAAGCTCATAGAGGATCTATGTACAGGTATCACAATTTTGACTCTCGAATACATAGAGCTTTTATCTATTGTCTATTTGCTGACTTAGGCATCAGAGAGATTTCCGGCATACACTCGCCAGCTAGCTCACTTTTGTGTTTTCAGATAACAAAGCGACAACGTTCGAAGGAGTGCAAACTTGATCAACAAGATTATACGAGAAGATTGTTTCGTGCTCATACAATTGGCGCCATCTGTGGGAAATACACGAAGAACAAACTTTTTGATTAAAGTTTCTCCTTCCACTAAGTTCAATGACACACAACAAAGATTTACCACATTTTTCCATTGATGGACAAACCCCGAACAGGGGCAGGAGAAGCGAAGGTCTACCTTTTGTCCCATCCATGGCAAAATTGGTTCCCCAGCAACAGAGGTCACGAAGAGACACGCGAGATAGACGAGGCTCAATCCGCATCACTCTCAAAGCCCTAATAGATAGAGGCGAATGATGGATCCCTAGGTTCTGAAAGATCGCGTGAGGGAGCAGGACGAGTTGATAAAGGAGAATGGCGGTTGACATAGAGACTATGAAGCCCCAGATAAAGGGCAAAAGGGCGGCAGAAAAAGAGGTGGGCAAAAGCAAGGCGCACCCTCGCCACTTAAAAGATAGTGACAGGCAAGTCACGCCGTCTCACACGAACAGCAGAAGCCTAAGGACGGGCGATACACAATCGAGGACTTCCAAGACTCGTTACTCCAGGTCTGAGAGAACAAGGACTGAAAGGTCTTACACAAAAGGAAGCAGTTATCAGCCCTCACATTCACACCAAATGACATCTAGGCACACGGAGTTGCTTAGATCAACAGACCTACAGACAATGCTTGAGAAAAGGGCTCGAAGGAGAGAAGACACTCAGGCTCGCGACCCTCGCAGAGTCTCTGCACTACAACAGTTGGCCGCTAGAACACATGGGTTTGTTGGTTGGAATGCCAGAGCCACGCCTTGCCTATGAACCAGCAGACAAAGCGTTAGCAAGGTTGCAGAGCTCGCCGTTCGTTTCGGCGATAGAGAATGCACCATTACCCTCTGGCTTCCACTATCCCAAATTTACTATTTATGAGGGAAAGTCGGACCCCTATATGCACTTGAGACACTTTCGCCAGGTCATGGCGGTGTATCCGTGAAACGAGGCTCTAATGTGTATCTTATTCCTTTCCAGCCTTGGTGACCTGGGTCTAACATGGTTTGAAAGGTTGCCAAAAGGTAGCATAGCTTCATGGACGTAACTAGCAGAAGCATTTGTGACCAGATTCAGAACAAACACCAAAACGCCTATGGAGATTGACCAACTTCTCTTCATAGATATGGGCGAGAAGGAAACATTGAGGTCTTACAATAATCAGTATTGGGAGGCGTTCAATCAAATTGGAGATTGCCCCACAAACCTAGCTATTCCGCGGTACAAGCGAGGTTTAACAGCTGGCAATAAGTTGAGGGATTCAATGACGATGATGCCACCCCTCACAATGGAAGCCCTAATGGAGAGAGTACATCAGCACATCTGAGTAGAAGAAGATGTCGCACGCACCAAAGCAAAACTGGCATAACAGCGATATCAGATAAAAAGCCTGCGGCAAAGGTAAACACGGTCGGGCAAGAAGAACAACCGAGCGAGAATGGGCGAGGCAGACGAGCCAACAGAGAGGACCCCCAAGCAAGGAAGTCAAAAGTCTGCATTACCATCACCACAGTATTTAACAAACCTATTTACCGGATTCATAGCGAAATACGCGACGAACCCTTTGTTCGGTGGCCATCCAAGTTGGGAGAAGCACAGAGGGGCTATGATGAGAGGTATCGTTGCACCTTCCATGACGAAAAGGGGCACCGAACTGAATATTGTACACCATTGAGGTAACATCTGGAGGAGTTAGTGACCGCTGGTCTCCTGGACCAGTATACAGAGGGGGGAATACAACCGACCCCCCAAGACCACAACAGGCCGAATGGGATGCCGGTCGATGGTCCACCCCAAGGCGTAATCAACGTAATACATGGAATCTTCGAACCTGAGCAGGTATATGTACCCAGAGGGATGATCAAAAAGGCTGAGGACTTGAGTGCTGTACTAAGTGCACAACCTACTATCAAAAGGGAAAAAACAGAGGCAACAAACGTTATCTCCTTTTCTGACAAGGACTTAGCAAGGTTACAATGCCCTCACAACGACGCATTGGTGGTGACTCTGCGCATCAAGAACTTCGACATCAAACGGATCTTAATAGACCAAGGGAGCTCCTGTGAGATAATGTACTACGAGACCTTCAAGCAACTAAAATTGGAGGATAGAGACTTGGCACTTGCGACATCTCCCTTAGTTGGCTTCAACTCGATGCTAGAATGGTCGGTGGGCAAAATAATTATGCCAATCAAAGCAGGAACGATGACAAAACAGGTGGAATTTTTGGTATTGAAAGTCCCTTCCACTTACAACATAATCTTTGGAATAGCATGGTTGCACGCCATGTGATCAGTAGCATCAACTTATCATCAGGTGCTACGGTTTTCCAACGATACCGGAGTGATTGAAGAAGTCTTAGGGGACCAAATCATGTCAAAACAGTGATTTGTCACAGTAAACGGCAGCTGGGCCGCAAAAGGGTTTGTACATATGGTAGAAGAGCTAGAAAACAACGAATTGTTCACAAACGTCGGCAAAACAGCCGAACAGAAGGCAGTGGAAGACTTGGTGGATTTAAGGATAGATGAAAAGAACCTAGAAAAGTTCTTTTTGCTCGGCTTGTCTCTATCCAGCACCAAGAGAATAGAGGTCGTGGAATTTTTGACCTCTAACATCGAAGTGTTTGCTTGGACGCCATATGGCATGCCTGGCATTGACCCTAATTTCATCTGCCATCAACTTAATGTCTGTCCGACTGCCAGACCAATTATATAGCGAACTCGCCGATCGGCACTCCACCACGCAGAGATAGTGGCGGAGGAAGTGGGAAACTTGCTGGAGGCAGGAGCAATCAGAGAAGTACACTATCCCAAGTGGATCTCCAACACTATAGTGGTGCCAAAAAAAAAAGGGCAAATGGCGCGTTTGCGTGGACTACAAAATAGTTAACAAAGAATGCCCAAAAGACAGCTTTCCCCTACCATAAATAGACCAATTGGTGGACCTGACAGTAGGACATAACCGACTTAGCTTCCTTGATGCGTATCGTGGTTACCATCAGATCGCTATGTATGAACCGGATCAAGATGTCACATCATTTACAACACCCAGAGGACTACATTGCTACAAGGTCATGCCTTTTGGCCTAAAAACCGTAGGGGCTACATTCCAACGGAAGGTCACCAAAATGTTTGAACCATTGTTAGGCAGAACAATGGAAGCTTGCATAGATGATATGATGGTCAAAAGCTGGGATGAGAGGGACCATCTCAGTGACCTAGATGAAATGTTCCAAATTTTGAAGTGCCATAAGTTGCGCCTGAACGCATCTAAATGCACATTCGGCGTAGGGTCAGGCAAATTCTTAGGCTTTCTAGTGAGCAACCAGGGTATAGAAGTTGATCCCTCTCAGATCAAAGCCATCCAAGATCTGGAGAGGCCCAACACAGTCAAGGAGGTACAGCATCTCACTGGCCTAGCAGCCACACTAAACCGATTTATAGGTCGGTCGTCAGACAGGTGTCGACCGTTTTTCCAGGCACTAAAGGCCAAGTTTGAGTGGGATGATAAGTGCAACCGTGCCATGGAAAGCTTAAAAGACTACATGACCTCTCCTCCGTTATTGGTGAGTCCAATACCAGGAAAGGAGCTCTTTTTGTACTTAGCAATATCCCAGCATGCAGTTAGTGCAATGTTGGTGAGAGCTGAGGGAATACAACACTTGTCTATCTTTTATGTGAGCAAGACAATGTTGGGCGCTGAAACAAGATACATGCCATTGGAAAAGCTAGCCTTAGCTTTGATGATGGCCTTAAGAAAATTTTCATACTACTTCCATGCCCACACCATAATTGTCTTAACGGCCTTCCCCTTAAAAGCCTTGTTTGAGGGAGCGGATTTCTTTGGACGAATTTTGAAGTGGGCAGTGGAGTTGGGGTTGTTTGACGTTAAGTTTCAACCAAGAACCGCAATAAAGGCCCAAGCTTTGGCAAACTTCGTGGCCGAGTTCGCACCAAGAAGTCATTATGTTTGCCCGATCGACTTGACCGGGGCAACTGAAAGAATGGGGGAAAGTGCTGCAGGAATAGTGCAGCCCCCAAAGCAGGACGCCCAACGGCATAGCAAGCCATTCAGGCCTGAAGAAAGGGAAGAAGGAACAGACCACAACACTACCAGCAAGGACTCACCCAAATGTAGAGTCTTGAGACAGTCAGACAGTAAGGATCAAAGCCCAACAGCAGAAATTAACCTGGATAAAGGCATCAACAACACCCTTGATCCCAAGACAGGCTTGAAGTTGTTCGTCGGAGAGATGTGGAAACTCTTTGTAGATGGGGCATCCAATAGGCACGGTGCAGGACTGGGCATAGTCCTCATCTCACAGGATGGCCTAACAATTGAACAGGCAGTTAACCTTGGCTTCCCAACATCCAACAATGAGGCAGAGTATGAGGCATTGCTAGTAGGTTTGAAATCGAAACTTCGCATGAAGGTCACCAAGCTAATGGTGTACAGTGACTCCCAGCTGGTAGTCAATCAGATTTTAATTGACTACAAGGCAAAGGATGATAGGATGGCTAAATACCAAGACTCGATCAAAAAAGGAGATCATGAAGTTTGAAGTAGTCTGTATAGAGCAAATCGGCCGGAAGGAAAATAGTAAAGCAGATGAGCTGGTCGATTTTGCGTCAATGGCAGATACATCTATCCCACACCCATTGCTGATTGACTTCCTACCCAAACCAAGTATTGAAGAACCCGAAGCAGCCGAAGCATGTTGTGTCGAGCTAGGTCCTTCTTGGATAGACCCTATCATAGTATTTTTAAAAGATGGCATCTTACCTAGAAAAAAAAAACCAAAAAAATTAGAGCAAAATCACAGTGATTTTGGCTCTCCCCATCATTAGCATTGTACAAAAAAATCTTTCACAAGACCTTACTTCAAGTGTGTCCATCCCAGTACAGTCAAGGCATTTTTTTTCGAAATACATGAAGGCGTCTGCAGAAGCCACCAAGGGGGAAGATCACTGGCCTACAGAGCAATTTCACAAGGATATTGGTGGTCGTACATGCAAGTAGATTCAGAGAAGTATGTCAAAAAGTGTGAGAAATGTCAGAAGTTCACACACCAAATACATCAACCACCCAGAGAGCTTCTACCATTAACCAGCCCGTGGCCCTTTGCAATACGGGGCCTGGATATAGTAAGACCATTCCCAGCTGCGCCCGACAACAGAAAGTTCTTTCTCGCAACAATGGACTATTTCACAAAGTGAATGGAGACAGAAGCAGTCGCATCTATAAAAGAAAAAGACGTCAAGAAGTTCGTCTAACAAAACATCATAACACGGCTCGGCATACCCAAGGCTTTAATATCCGACAACAGCACTCAGTTTGATAACAAAACCTTTAGGGGCTTATGCGAAGAATACAAAATAGAATTCTATAACTCTATACTGGCGTACCCCCAAGCTAATAGCCAGGCAGAAGCTTCCAACAAAATAGTTTTAAACGGTCTGAAGAAGAGGTTGGAAAGAGCAAAAAGCAAGTGAACTGAGGAGCTTCCCCATGTTTCATGGGCTTACCGTACCACACCGCGGCGATCAACTGGCGAAATGCCTTTTTTCTTTGGCCTATAGCATGGAGGTAGTAATCCCCCTGGAAGCGGGCCTCCCCACTATTAGAAACAAAAAATTTGATCCAAACTTGAATGGTGAGGTCATAACCTTAGAACTCGACCTTGCAGAAGAAATAAGAGAAAGGGCATTAGTACACATTGCCTCATACCAACAAGAGTTATCTAGGAAATATAACAAAACAGTGCACCCAAGGCAATTCAACATTGGAGATTGGGTACTGCGCAAAGTAATGGGCAACACTTTGGTGCTTGGAGATGGGAAGTTAGGACCTAACTGGGAGGGACCATACAAAGTGATTGGTTTAGCGGAAAAAGGGACATATCACTTGGAAGATATGGACAGCAAAGCTATTCCCAGGCCATAGAATACGGCCAATCTCAAGCTATTTTGTTTTTAGCTTTTTCTTAAAACACTTGTAATTTTTCTTTTTCAATAAAACAAGTTGATTCTTTCTGGTTAATATACTATCCTCTGTTTGTAAACGTTGTCCATATTTATTGCCGACTAAGGGCAATCAAAAAGGTTAGCAGGTTTGACCAACACTTTTTGTTCGTTCAACCAAGATAAGGATCTAGGCTCAAGAAGGTTGGCAGGTTTGACCAACATTTTTTCTTCTTCAGCTAAGATAAGGATCTAGGCTCAAGAAAGTTGGCAGGTTTGACCAACACTTATCTTTCTTCAGCTGAGATAAGGATCTAGGCTCAAGAAAGTTGGCCAGTTTGACCAACATTTAGCCCATCCCTAAAGCCGAGATAAGGATCTAGGCTTAGGGATGTTGGCAGGTTTGACCAACAAATTTTTCCTCTTCAGCCAAGATAAGGATCTAGGCTCAAGAAAGTTAGCAAGTTAGAACAACAGATTTTTTCTTCAGTCGAGATAAGGATCCAGGCTCAAGAAAGTTGGCAGGTTAGTCCAACAGATTTTTTCTTCAACCGAGATAAGGATCTAGGCTCAAGAAAGTGGGCAGGTTAGGCCAACAGATTTTTTCTCCTTCAGCCGAGATAAGGACCTTAGCTCAAGAAGGTGAGCAGGTTTGGCCAAACACTTAGTTCGTCCCTTAAGCCAAGATAAGGATCTAAGCCCAAGTACGTTGGTAGGGTTAATCAAATATGTTTCTCTTAGCCGAGATAAGGATCCAAGCACATATCTCGGTTACAAAAGTTTTAATATTTCCCAAAGATGTTTTTCAGCCAGGATAAGTACCTCAGCCGAACAAGGTGGGTAGCATAAAGGCAAAACCAAGCTAACTAGATCAGTTGGGCATGCAGCAAAACTGATACACTACAAAGCAGAAAAGTGATGTAAACCGAACAAAGAGATGCTAAAAAGAAAAGTTTGAATCATTCATTTGCAAATTAAGTACAAGAGGAGGGGCTTGTAGCCCAGTTACATTTTTAAATAAACTAAAATAGAAAAATGTTGGTAAATCAGGCAACGAGGTCATCTAGCTCAGCATCCAAATCGACCCGAACTCCTCCAACTTTGCCTTCACGTGCTTGATCGGTCTCAGTCGCATCGCTAAGGTCCAGCACGGCTTGGTTGGATACTTCCGACCGAGCTGGCAAAGAAGACTGGCGACCAAGGTCAGTGTTGGCGGGTGGAATGTCGACTGGATTCGGGACCTCTTCCTCCTCAGCTTCCATTTTAAGGAATTTTTTCTAGATGGCGTTTGCATAGTCCGTCATATAGACCGGAATAAAATATGCAGGAGGATGGAGAAACATCTCGAAGTCGGGCAACTAACCGAGCTTTTCAGCTGCAGCCTTCCAGTCACACTTGAAGAATATGTCCTTTGTAGCTTCCCACTGCTTGACATTGGTTTCTTTACCTTCTTTGAACCCGCAGTCCTCCGCATCCTCCACATTCTTCTGCAACTCTACTATCTCGGTGTCCTTCTTCTTCTCAAGCTTAGCGAGCTCGCGCAAATACCGATCTTTTCTCTCGGCTAAGGCCTTCTGCTTATCAGCCTCAGTCGCGCTAACCTGCTTGGCAAATTTTTCATTTGCAGCGCTCAGCTTGGCTAGAGAAGCCTTTAGGACTTGTAGCTCGGCCTCTTTTGTTTTCACCTCGGCGACAGCCGCCTTGGTCGTTCTTTGCAATTCGATCACACGTTGGTGCGTAGTGTGATTTTTCTGGATGGCCTGCAAAGTGTTTGCAAAAATAAAGTTTTAAATCGTACAAAATAATTGTGGAAAAAAAGCAGATTTACTGAGAAATCCAAAGCTTACCAGGACCATCGACTTGGTGGCGGACTGAATCGCCATCAATTCGGTCAGGTTCTCATGCCTTTCCATGTCAGCTGGAAGGCACAAACTTTTGGTTAAACCAAAAGGCAATAAGTGGTCTTTCTCAGCAACGATGGAGTCGGCAGTAGTAACGGCACGGCCTTTGAAAGTTACAGCTAGCGCCCATGCTAAAGAAAAGCTAGCTCGGCTGGGGGCGCCTCCAACTTGTCTCGGTTGGCTTGCGGATAGCTTGGTCCCTTATGGTTCGGCGTCCTCTTCATCTATTAGCTGCTGCGTTTGAGAGGCCGAAGTGCGCGGCCTTTTGTTGGGCCGAAATGAGATAGCCTGGGAGGAGGACAACGCGACGACGGTTTCGATGGTCTGACCGATTGTAGTTTGCACGGTTTGAACCTCAGCATTTGCGTTAGATGCATGTTCAGTGATCAGAGCCAGGATGGCTCTCCTTTTGACTATCTCTTGCTCTTCGATTAGGGGGATAAGGTTGATCTGGGGCAAGTTAGGGTCCGGTTCGGGTGATGGTTCGAGTAAGAAGTCGGTAACCCTAAGTTTTTTCCTTCAGCTATACCGATAGGTCGGCTCAAAATTTAGTAGTTCGGTCCAATGTCGGTAGCCGTATTGAAGTGTGGCACAAAGGGCGTCTTGATTGGCGTAGGCATAATGTGATTTAAGCTGGTTTAAATCTGAAAGAAAGACAAGGAACGTAATGGGTTAGCGCGGTGGTTATTGAAACAGAAAAGTAAGTTGAACTAGAATATTCTTACCAGCAGTTCCTTTATTCCAGTTTATATTGTAGCCGGTATCTGGGCTTCCTAATCTTCAAAATGGCCAGAAATCCATAAAAAATCATCATCGTTTAAATCTTTGTCCAGTGTATTTTTGATAATTTTTTCTCGGCCTCTTTTTACTCTGAGGTAGTACTCCCAACTGTCGTCATTTTGGCCAAGCGAATATTGATGAAATAGCTCGGCCAATGCAAGGTTGACGCCAGGTAGATCAGAGAAGTACACTATCCCAGGTAGATCTCCAACACTGTAGTGGTACCAAAAAAGAACGGCAAATGCCGCGTTTGTGTAGACTACAAAACAGTTAACAAAGCATATCCAAAAGACAGCAAATGTAAATCAAGGTGGATCGATGCATTGATCAAGAAGCAAGTGTAAAGCTTGTCGGAGAGTCTGCCGCCTTTTTCGCAAGTGTAAATCAGGAAGCAAGTGTAAATCAACTCTCTGCTTGTTAATCTGTTAATCTTTGTGTTCTCCAAATCTCAAGCATTCACTTCCATTGATGATGATGATGATGATGATGATGAAATAGAAGCACACAAATATACAAAAAATAGAGAGATAGAGAAACAGATAGAGAGAGTAAGTCTGGTTTGATTGATCAGCAAAATTTGTACATATATGAAAATTTTATATAGATAAAATTTGGATAGAAAATTTGTACAGATAAGAATATTGAAAAAAATAAATTTTGAACCAATAAAAATTTGGACAAATAGAAAAAGTTAAACAAACAAAATTTGGACGGATAGAAAATTTACACATATAAAATTTGGACAAATAGAAAAAAATTTAAACAGATAGATATAAATTTGAACAAATAATCAAAAATGTCAACAAACAAATTAAGGGGTAAAATTAAAAAAAAAAAATCCTCTAAAACAACAAAAGGGTTTTTCACCAAACTATTTTATAAATGGTAAACCTCTCACCAACAAAAAATATGTATTGAACCTAATGCCTTAGACAATTTTTAAATTAGGCATTTCAACTGTTTTCTCTTTATTTAATTTATGAATTTGAGTAAAAATTTAAAAAAAATAAAAAAAATAAATGAAAAGAAAAATGTAAATATAATATAGAAAACTTTTTTCTTTAATTTCTTTGTCTCTTTTTTTCTTTTTCTTTTTTCTTTTTTCTTTTTTTTTCTTTTTTTTTTTTGGCTTCAATTTCTAACCAAATGCCTAATCTAAACAAAGCTTTAAGAGAACAATATTTCTGACAATATATATATATATATATTTTTGTGACAAATGTATTCCTCCAAAAAAGTAAACTTAACTATGCTTGTTCTTCAAAGTCGGCTTTATAATTAATAAATAGAAAAGGATTGTAATAAATGCAAAAGCTTCTAGGATTTTGGATTCAAGATCAATCAATCAAATTTGTTGAAAATTCTATCTGTCCAAATTTTGTATAAAGAGTAAAATTCTGAAAAGGGCCCCCCCGGGGGGGGGGGGGGGGGGTTGCCTTTGGTTGGCGAACGTTTTGAGAAATTCACAAAAATCAAAGAATCAAATAATCTTACATTTTCAACTTCAGAAAATTCCTAGCATCTTTGTCCGACAAACAAATAGTAACAAATGAAAACGTTTTTCATATTTCACTTAAAATTTAGGGTGAATTATATTAATAGTCCAATATAGTTAGTTTGAGATTTATATTACTTTGATCTCTGACTTTTTAATTGTGATATATTTGATCCTGAATTTTGAATCTTGTTTCAAATAAGAATAATTGAAGATATCATTAGATTTTTTAAGGATAAAATCGTCAATTTGATAAAATATAAACTAATTTGATAAAAATAAATATCAAACAAATATTTTTGAATTTTTAAAAATTATTTTTACCTACTAAAAATAAAATTATGTAAAATTGATAAATCTTTTAGACATTTATTTATTTTTTTACCAAATTAATTTTTATTATGTGTTTAGATGATGATCATGTAAAATTAATTTTTAAAAATTAATCATGTAATTTTTATTAATTTTACATAATTTTATCATTGGTGGATAAAAAATAATTTTTAAAAAATTAAAAATATTTTTTTGACATTTATTTTTGTCAAATTAGTTTATATTTTATTAAATTGACGATTTTGCTCTTGAAATTAAACAATGGTATCTTCAATTGTCCTTATTTGGAACAAGATTCTAAATTTAAAGTCAAATATGTCACAATTGAAAAGTTAGGGACCAAAGTGTCATGAGTCCCAAACTATAGGGACTGTTAGTGTAATTTGTCCTAAAATTTACTTTTAGTCCACTTTTCAATTGTTATAATTAAATTTTTAGATGCCAACTCAAATTTTAATGTAGTTCTCCTCTCACCCAATATTTAAGATTTAAGTAAAAGTTGAAAAATAAAATAGCAAAGTGAAATTTGAATAAAGGTTAAAGAGATTTTTTTTTTTTTTTTTTTTTTGAACGAAGTTAATAGATTGATAAGTGTAACTTTTTCATAATTTTTTTTCATTAATACCCTTAAAGTATGCTAATATCGCCATCATGTGAGCACTTTTTGTTCATTTCTATAACAGTAAGTGATGGGAAGGACTATAAGTTGAATCGAATTGGTCCAATTATAAATGGTTATTTAAATTAATAATAGAATAATAATAAAATTCACATATGTTCCCTTAAAATGTGCTTTATTTCATATTGATACTTCAAATTTTAATTTCATAAATTTTGTCTCAAAGCACTTACGAAGAAGGTGAAACACAACTTTACAATATTTCGGTAAAATTAAAATTTTAGAAATCAAAGTGACACATAACACATATTTAAGTGACTATAAGTACACTACAAGAATTAACACTTTTGGCAACAAAAAAATTGGTCGCTAAAAGTCTATTTTTGGTCGGCAAAAGTTATCCGCGACCAATTTTTTTTGTCGCTAGTTTGGTCGCCAATTGAGGGTTGGCAAAAGTAATTCGCGACCAAAATTTTCGTTGGTCGGGAAAAGTTACATTTGCTGACTAAATTTTTGGTCGCTAAATATTTATTTACTGCGACTAATCCATTTTGTCGCTAAAACATTTTGGTCGCGAAAAGTTGCCTTTTACCGACCAAATTTCTTAGTCGCCAATTGTCACATTTTGCGTCCAAAAATTAGTTTGGTCGCCAATTGTGACATTTTGCGACCAAAATTAGTTTGGTCGCCAATTGTGGCATTTCGCGACCAAAAATTTTGGTCGCCAATTGTGACATTTTGCGACCAAAATTACTTTGGTCGCCAATTGTGACATTCTGCGACCAAAATTAGTTTGGTCGCCAATTGTCACATTTGGTCACCAACATCCAACAAAATAAACCTGTAATTTATAATAATCCATCCAATTTATTCAATATAAGTAATTTGCAAAAATCATTCAAACCAACAAATAAATTAAATCATGAACATTCAACAAAATACATAGATCAACCATTTCTGAACCTGTTTAATTAAAATCAGCAACTATTATAAGTTTTCATCCACAAATAATTCCAAACTATATATTTCTTCTAACATAAAAATTTAAGACATAACAAATACTTGTTATTATGTTTAAAATTTTTATCCATGTACATCAACCGAAAAATATAACTAATAGTCTACGAAATATTTTCTATACACACCCATCCAAAAATATAACTACTAGTGTATCTAAAAATATTACTACTAGTCTACCCTTTTTCTACCCATATCGAATCTCTAATCTCCTGGACTGATAGTCAATGCAGTTTGAACAGGAAACAAGTTCTCTGTAAGTGCTGGACGCAGGAAACCATCCTTCCAAATCATACTTCTTTGCAGCTGTATCATTCAAAGCACCGGAAACAATAGCCACAATTTGATAGGGTAGTTTTAGCTGCAATAGAGAGAATTATGTCATACTTGTAGGAAAGAATTTTTGCATAATTAAATAGAGAAAAATCAATTCGTCATTAGCAGGAGCCCATATATAGGACCCTCGAATTTCTTTGGCGTCAAGTGGCAGACTTTTTAGCATTAACCAAACGAAACAACCAATTCCAAAATCACTCATCTTACATGACATTACAAAACCTGGCAAGATAATCTATATGAGTACTATAAGAAACATTATCAAGCATCTCCAGATTAAAAAAAAAAAATGAATATAACGAAGAAATAACCAAAAATTATACACATCATTCCCCTACAATTCTGAGGGCAGGAAAGCTCTATACCGTCTTGTAAAACTCTTTCTGAGTTCGTTATCATTTCCTCGTGCATGTCCCAAGAGTCATATATGTTAAACCTACTATATGTGATTTAAAATAGTTACGCATATATAAGGTAAAAAAGAATCATAAAAAAATTAATTTTGTGAACCAAGTGGATCTAATTGGGCTGATCAAAATTTTGTGCCTTGTTAATTGCCTTGTTAAGAGTCAAGGAAGATTTCTCCTTCCTGGACTATGACCTCCAACTCACAAAATATATATATAGAATTGTTTGATCTAAATTCATTCTGAGTGACATTCATTTAGGTCACCCTTAATGAATCTATCACATATTGAATTTGTTTGCCTATATTTCTAAAAAATAAAAAAAATAAAAATTTCCGTGCGCATATGTGAACTTGGATTGTCATAATAGAATACTTAATAGGAAATGCTAACCATCGCCATTGGATGGTGATTAATGTTCATATATGTGTAAAAATTATATTAACATATATTAACATATATTTTTTGTTTTTTATTTTTTGTAGACATTAAACAAAGAACTATAAAGATAAACGTTACAGTCCTAAGATTTTAATTCTCCCAAATTAAAGCTTTGTTCACCACTCAACCCTAACACGCTATATAAAAATAGAAAAAGAAAAAGAAAAGATGACGACGGTCATTATGCTTTGTACGGTTTGTTAGAATCAACTGGAATGAAATCGTCATTTCATCATAATGTTATTCTCATATTTGGTTCAATAAAAACTATAAAATATATTTGCAAATAGAAGCAGTATTTATCATTATAAATGAATACTTATTGTTAAGGAATGACCATTTCAAAAGGACAAGACCAATTCTTGGCCAACATGAATATATGATATCCAATATACGGACCATTTTTAAAACCCCAACCTTGAGAACCTTAACAATACACAAAACAATCTGAAAACACTAAAATGAATATAAACCACCATTTGCCTATCTTATTTCTTATACCACATGCTTAAAAGAATTCAAAACACTGCTTGCTAAACCAAAAGAGTATTTTGCCCTTACCAAACATGTACAATTTTTTCTCTATTCTATTATATTTATATACCATATATTCATAAGCATGAAGAGAAAAAAGAGATATTTACTCCACTTCTTCAAAGTTCTTTTTAGAGCTCTAGACAGGATGATCTTGAAAAGGAGCTTGGGGGAGATTAACAGTGTGCGGTTTGATGTCTCTACACCGCATGTAAGTCAAGAACTGACCAGGTAGCTCTTCCAATAGACTCTGAACAATTGATATCTGTCCACCTGCAGAAACACAAAACAAAATTTACAAGATAAAGTGATAATAGAGGCACAACTGGCAAAAGACCAGAAAAGAAATTACTGGTGCATGGCGAAAACCTCCAAAATGAGAGAAAGAAGAAGAAACAGGTTATATTAGATGTTGGTATGGAAACCTAGCATCTTGTGAATTGCACTAAGGTCCCTTTTAGGAACAGAAATGGAGCTGACTTCCGTCATCATCTGAGTTTCAAAACCCAGTTCAGGTTTCTCCTTTTTACTCTTATGTATCTCATATTTTTTTACAAATAATTTACAAAATTACCTTACATTTTAGTTTTTTGAAAAAATAGGCGCAATACAATATTTCTATATCTTAAATTACATTTATGGCCTGAAGTACCAACAAAAAAACCATACACCCAAAGTATTTTGCCCACCGGATATGTATTTTGCATACGCTTACCCATACCAGGTAACTACCTTGAACTTGTACAACAATATTTAGAAGCACTTCATAAACAAAAATCTTGAGAGGGAATGAGAATCTCATTAATAGTAATATGATTGCTACTAATAAAAATCTTGTGTCATTGCATCAATGCTATTCAAGTATTTGGTTTCATTAGGAATCCTCAATGAGAATAATAAAATTTTAAATATTGTGAGCCCAATTATTATTTTGTACTCTTAAATGGTCAACATTCGTCTAGGAATGTGAGATTTCCCATAGGAAAGTGGGGGAATCAGATTCCTATTAAATTGGGGAGTGTGATACTTGTTGAAATTGATAATTAATAATCATTTTCCCATTTTGATGTGTTCCAAACACTAGAATCATGGGAATCTGGAATAATATTCCCATTCCCCCTCTCAAACTTTGTCATCCAAACCTATCCTAGAGGTGTTCCGAGCTTAACAAAAGAAAATAAATACCAGAAATACTAAACTCTCATGAGCACTAAAAAGCCAATTGTGCTAGATTCCAGTATGTGTCCTGCCCAAATGTGGCCAAAACTCTAAACCAAAATATTCTACAGACTTTGAAATAGTAAATCAAATTAAGTAAGAACTCACCATGTACATCACGCATTGGAACAAACTGTACAATGTCTCGTGTAGCTATCCTCCCTGTAGAACTCTCCAATCGATGTCCATTGTCAGCATCAAGGATCTGTCAAATAATGAGAAATTATACCACACCAAACATTGGAGAGAATTTCTGAGGAACAACATTTCACATTTTCAAGAAACGAGTACGGTACTGTAATTACTAATAGAAAAGAGTCCAGGAGTATGTAATGCAAATAATTTGTTACAGAAAACAAGAATATACCTCCATTTGTTTGAAATCTGCACCACCCACTCCAACAATAAGAATGGATAGGGGTAGATCAGATGCCATTACCAAAGCATCTTTAGTTTCTTGGAGGTCAGTAAGGACTCCATCCTGTAGAATTGTTTCAAAATTATTTTATTGCAAAAATAAAGAATAAGAAAAAAGGAAAAAACAGAAAATGAAAATTTATCATTCACCGTTATAATAAGCAAGACAAAATACTTGCTGCTGTCCTGGGAGAGCGAACGACCAGCTATTTCTGCAGCAGTGTTGATCACTTGACCGAATAAAGTGGGTCCAGCAAGTGCAACGTTCCTCAAAGCACTACCATAAGCAGCCATGATGCCTTCTACTCCTTCAACCTGTAAAAAGAAGACGGAATTGACCATCACCTCTGTATATATAAACGGCAGGCCTCACAGATTTTTATGATTTCATTATGGACAATAGCATCATTATCCACATAAATCAATAGCTGGGAAGAGAAGTGCAAGTAGCATACTGCCACTGAAAATTAAGATTACCTCCCCATGTGTGGGTCTGGTATTACAACATATGAAACATACAAGTCAAAGAAAAATGAAACAGCATGACAAATCTGCTCAACATAGCAATTCAAAAAGTGGTATCCTTTCCTTTAGTCTCTGGCAGCAGATAAAAATGAATATAACATAAGCTTCCCTATTTTTATTTTATTTTTGTTTGTATCTACATAGAGTTACAAAAGATAACAATTGTAAGACAATTTATATGCTAAAGTGAGACAATACTAAATTGTGTTCGAAGCTCTTTTATGTCATTAAAATCATATGTAACAGACAATTTAAATGCTAAAGCAAGACATACTAAATTGTGTTTGGCACTCTTTCATGTCAGCAAAAGTACTAATTTGGCGACTAATTTTTTTTGGTCGCTGAAAATAAGTTTTTCGCGACCAAATTTTTCGTCGCCAAAAAATATGTGACCTTCCGCGACCATATTTGTTGTTGGTCGGCAAAAGTATACCACTTTCTACGACCAACATATGTTTTGGTCGCCAAAATATAACCTTCTGCGACCAATAATATTTGGTCGCCAAAAATAATGATCATTCGTGACTAATTAATATTTGGTCGCCAAATGTCATTTTTTTGCGACCAAAATTTTTTTGGTCGGCAAAAGTGGTCGCAAAATGTGTAAATTCTTGTAGTGGTATATTTGATTGTTATTTTTTTAATAATTTAGACTTTTTGTTTGAAATTTGACCAATTTAATTCAAATTAAAAAAAATTATAAAATTAAAACTTATAAGGTCAAAATTTCACGAAATGCATATTTTAAAAATTATAAATATATTTATCATCAAAGTTTTCTATCGTTCTGAAGGCCCCAGTTATGTATCTTGATTTGCTCTTGTATGGATGGGAAACATGACAGGCCTATATATATGTGTGTATATATATGCATATGGGAAAACATTATGAGAGTACAAAGGTGTAGATCATATGCACTTTATAATTAAAAAGAAAAATAGTATAATTTTAATTTTTTAAATCATAATTAAATATATATATATATCATAATTAAACACAACATGAAACATAACTAAAGAATTCATGAGTTATAACTAAAGTAATATCATAACTAAAAAAGAAAATAACATAATTACAGATGCATATAGTATACCAATTTTAAATGAGTGTATATTACAATTTCCCACATTGTGTGTATATATATCCCAGAAAACTCTATGGTACACACCTGTTAGTCCCACATATATTTAATTGTATATTTAGATAGTTTGAGGTGGAATAAATATTAAAATAATGGGAATGACTATTTCTAAAGGTTAGGTAATGAGATAAAATTGGGGGAACAAGTAATTCCTTAGGGGTTTTAAATTTTAAATTTTAAATTTTTAAGAACATTACGTGATTATATACTGACGTAACAATAACAAGCATTTATTCACTTTTAACAAGAAATAGAAATAATTTAAACACATAGTTATTAATAATTTTGAATTACCTAAAAAATAATAATATGAAAGATAAGGCAACTATTTTGAGAGAAGAATTTTTATTTATTTTTTAATTCCCAAACAGTAGACTAGAGGAATAAAGAGACAGGGATAGGGTCCCAATTTGACTTCAAATCAAATTACTTCCTAAATTCATGTACATCCCAACAGCCATCATATAAACGCCACGCCCATTGATTTCAATAAAGCCAAAAGCCCCCAACTAAGAAAACATTTTTGACTGCTTTTTGCATTGGATAATGCTTACTATATACAGTAAATCAAAGAGTTTGGCTTCTGTTGGGCCCGTAGGGCCTCCGACGAGTACCATTTCGATAATCTGAACCGTTTATGTGTAGAACTCGTCGAGTATTATATGTTTATAAAAAATCACGTTGATCAGATATCAATAGTTACGTGATAAATCAGTTTTGTATAAAAAGAATAGACGGTGAAAAAATAAACGATTGACAAAAATCTAATCCGATGAGATAGCTATCAATATCCGATCAATGTGATTTTTTTACAAACATATAGTACTCGACGAGTTTTATACATTGAATCGTTCGGATTATCAAAACGGGAGCTGTGATGGCCCTCACGAGGCCAACAGCACCTTTCAATCCAACCAGAAACTAGAGAAAAGCCAATCCCTAAATAAAATTATATTAAAAACTCCGAATGTTTCATTTATGTTTATTTATGATAAATTAAAATGTTCATCATTAGATATATGTAAAATATCGTTGTGAATATTATTATCAAATCATTTTAAATTTTCTTATAAAACAAATAAAATCATTCTGATTTTAAACTATGTATAAATATCATTTTCTATATACATACAAAATATTCATTGCATAAATACGCATAGAAATGTGAAATAAACATATAGAGCAACGATATATGAGAAGAAAAAATGTACAAAATTTGTAAATGCGGTTGCATTGATACTTATAATGTTAAAACAAAGTGCTTACATTAAAGTGACATTTAATTATAAAAATGTCACAATCACATAAAGTCGTAAAATTTAGGATAAATATGTTAGTAATCTCTATATTTTATCATTTATATCATTTTTTTTCTTATACTTTCAATTGGCTCAATTTTGACCCTTAATTTTAGATTTTATATCAATTAGATTCAATTGATAAAATTGCTAACTTTTTTACGGAAAATAATTACTGAGTTGATTGAGGTTAAATCAATGGGGGGGGGTGGTTAAGTTAATGGATTGATCAAGTTTATAATTTGCTTTTAAAAATATGACACATGTCACTCATATATACATTTTTCATAAAAAAATGCTAATAGTTGAAATCAGTTAGACCAATTTGAGACAAAGTAAAAATAAAGATCAAAATCGAGCTAATTAAAATTATAAAGACAAAAATGACATAAAAATTGAAATAAAACGACTAGCAGTGTAATTTTTTCAAAATTTCATATATAAGTTATGTTTAAATAATATTTTTCATTTTACTATGTTACAAAATTGAAAAGTTGGCACGGACATCCAGCAAAAAAAAAAAATTTCTTTTGTAGTAGGTAGAAATGTATTAATAAATGCACAAATCAAGGCAAGGCATGTAACCAAAGAAGACCATGTCATCTTGGAATTTGCGGCTGCTATAGATTGAACATTAGCCACGCGGTTTAGCAGACAAAGAGTGACTTCTAAACTTTAAGCAAGCTGTCATACATTGAACATTGCCCTATAAATTGATGTGTCCCTTACACTATCTCAATCATCTTCATTCCTAAAATCTACATTACTCACTTGCATTGCATTTTGAACTTCTATTGTGTTGTACTTCTAGGCTATCTATTAATATTACTAGCCATGAGTTCTTCACTGATTAATTTTTCTAGCAAATCTTATGCTACTTTTGCTTCATCCTTGCTTCTCATGCTTTTGATTTTGAATTTAAACACACCTTGTAATGCTAAGTTATCTTCCACTTTTTATGACCAAACCTGTCCAAAAGCACTCGGGGCTATTAGAACTTCTATTCGACAATCGATTTCACGCGAGCGTCGGATGGCAGCTTCGCTTATTCGCCTCCATTTCCACGATTGCTTTGTTCAGGTAATTCACACTTTGATTTTTTAGTTGTGTAAATTTGGTCTGATCTCTTATTTATTTAATTTGTGTTTAAATGACTCTCAACAACATTTCCCTCCAAATTTGGACAAAAATAACCCTACATTTGTAAATTTGTTCGTATTTTATAAAAAAAAATACCCCAAATTTCACCAAATTTAGATGAAAATACCAGTATTTCCACTGTAAAAATATCCAAATAAAATATCCACTGTTTCTAGTGTATGAAGAAATTAAAACCCTATGTTGCTGCCAAATTTTGTACAAAATCCATGCTTCCGTTATAAAATTTCAACAAAAGATTTATAAGTTGGATAAGTTGCGATACCAAATTCACATAATTGAAATATTAGAAACCAAAATGAGAAAGAACCTATACTTTAGGGACCAATAATGTATTTAACACAACACAACACAACAGTAAAGCTATGTCATATATAGTTTAGTTCGTCTACATATATTGTATTAATTATAATACTCTTGTATTTACAGGGCTGTGATGCATCAATCTTACTTGATGAATCAGCTACCCCTACAAGCGAGAGGAGTGCAGGGCCTAATGCGGGTTCTGTAAGAGGTTTTGAAGTGGTAGAGGCTGCCAAGTCTGCGGTAGAGAAAGTATGTCCAGGAGTTGTTTCTTGTGCAGACATACTTGCAGTGGCAGCACGTGATGCCTCCGTCTATGTAAGTAAATACGATACTAAGAAATATATTGATATTTTTCAAAAATTTATCTATTTTATTATATAAATATAGCATTTCACGAAGAGAGTGTGCATATAAACTTGTAGTAATTGTTGATTGGGTTTGTTGTGAATTAATCAGGTGGGTGGTCCTTCATGGAAAGTGAAGCTTGGAAGAAGAGATTCTACAAGTGCAAGTCGTAGTTTAGCTGAGAGCGATCTTCCAAGTTTTGCAAGTACCCTTGACCAACTTATCTCCAAATTCAGTAAGAAGGGTCTCAATGCAAGGGATATGGTAGCCTTGTCAGGTAATACAAAACATTACTCTTTACTAACGTTTATTTTTATAGTTTTCTGTTTATGTTTATAAAAGAGTAATGCTAGGTTTCATACAATAAAACACATAATGAAAAGTTTTTTGAAAATTCTTCATCCTTAGATTAATTTGTGATGTTTTATTATATGTTATGCAATCACATATTTAAGAATGAAAAATCTTCATCAAGTTTTGCAAAATATTTCTTTTATGAAACCTGACATTACTTTTATAAAAATATTGAAAATTATAAATGAAAACTCACTGTTTATTTTCATTTAAAAAATATTGCATAAAATTTATTAAATTCCTATGGTAAAAAAGTTATTTTCACTAGTTTTAAAAATGAGTTTCATTCCCTCTTTCATCCCCTTTGGCCACCACTTATCACTTATCACCACAGTAGGCCATCCCCACATTAACGACCTCATCTGGTCATCCACACCTTAGGCAATCACATTGCACTAGCAACAACAATCTTCAATCATTGACAACCACCTCGGTCACAACCTCTAGCTGATAAACCATCTCCAGTCACCACCTCCCCTTTGTTGACAACCACTTATAGCCACCACCCCCATATTATTGGCAACCACCTATTGCCACCACCTCTGACCATCACCTTTGTGGCAATTACCTCCGACTTGATAACCGCCTTGGTCGACCACCTCCTAAAAGCAACCACCTTCAGCAATTCTCTCTCACTTGATTACAAAACTAATTTCTAGAAGACATGTATAAGTGTACCAAACTTATTTTTTGCTTTTAAATTTCCAAACAAACTGTAAACATTATCAAACAACTACACAACATTGTTGATAGTATTTATTCCTCTTTTGTCGACAAACAATAATTAAATGTACGTTGATTTGAAATGTAGGATCACACACAATCGGCCAGGCACAATGCTTTACATTTCGCAACCGAATATACAACAATGGTAGCAATATTGATGCTAGCTTTGCTAGCACACGTCGTCGCGGCTGCCCTGCCACTACCAGTAGTGGAAATAGCAATTTAGCACCTCTTGATTTGGTGACACCCAATTCTTTTGACAACAACTACTTCAAGAACTTGATTCAAAAGAAGGGTCTGCTTCAAAGCGATCAAGTACTTTTCAACGGAGGATCAACCGACAGTATAGTGTCAGAATATAGCAAGAACCCTTCAAGCTTCAAATCCGATTTCGCATCAGCAATGATCAAAATGGGAGATATTAAGCCTCTCACTGGTCAAAAAGGGATCATAAGGAGGATTTGCAGTGCTCTAAATTAAGATTGGTTTGGTAAATGTTTATTTGTTTATTTATTTTAATTTTTTAGGATAAAATTGTTAAAAAGTTTGTGCGTTTGACAAACGTTAAAATTTGGTTTTTGTTTTTTTGCTTTTTATTTCCCTTTCATTGAGTTTCATTTGTGGGTGTTGGGTTTGCTTTGGTATTTGTAGAGGAATTTGTTCTATTTTGTCAAACTGTGAATCAATTATAATATTAATGGTTTGGTTCGTTTTTTTATTTCATTGTGTTCTAAATCAATAAATGACCTACTTCATATATATGGTCCGTCTGAATTCTTCGTGGCCCTAGGCTAACTCTTAAAATGGAGTAGTCCGTTACATGTAATCATAACAACAAAAATTATGGGTAGAATGATTACTAACTGCAATTTTTTTTTTTTTTAATTTGCTAATACTCACACAAATTATGTGTTTCATTTTAAATTAGCAAATAATTTGTGTGAGTATTAAGTAAATTACATTGACATGCCATGAGATTTGAAAAAAAAATATATAATGAGCTCCACAAGTTTGGCATAATTATACTAAGTTCAGGAACAGAACGGTGTACGGGCCGGGGCCGGTCCCCTTCAATTTTTGACAATTTATTATTAATTCTATATTTATTATTAGACATTTTTTAATTTTATAAGAATTATTTTACTATTTTTTTAGTTTCATTAGTGTTTTACTCAAACAAATTTATGTTATAAAGGAAGGGTAATTTAGGTACTTTATAACCTAAAATAAATTTGAGGGACCTTAACCATCGAAACATATTATAAAGGACCTCTCCTCCTATCAAAAGTAGAGGAGGGACCTTAGCCCAATTTTCCCTTTAAATAATAGCATCATTTTTATTGAGTCGATTTTATTAAAACACGAGGTACATGTCACTTATTTTTTGAATTTTACAAATCAAATGGTATATATACTTTTTTATGAGTAATGCTAGAGAATCTAAACTTCAACCTTAAATTTATTTATAATAACATGGCAAGGGTCGGGTCTTAATTGATTGATTTCTAAACAAATCAACTAACATGTAACATTCAACGCCATTAAGTGTAAAATTTAAGCTTTTTCAAGGATCTTAAGTATTTTTTACTTTTTATTTAGTAGATTATATCAATCAACAAAATTGCTTAAAATACTAGTTTAACCGATAGTATACTGTGATCTAATAGTTCAAAATTGGACAAAGTATTTATTAGATTTATTTAATTTTTTTGTGAAATATTTCTTCGTAATGCATATATGAAAAATTATATTCAAGTAGTAATGTACCAAAAACTAATTCAATATTTTTTATTCATATACATTGGCCCTTTGCAAACAAAATTTGTAGTTTCGCCTCGGATTTAGATCACATTTGGTAAGATGGAATGAGCTAGAATGGAATGTTTATTCTAACTTTATATTTCCTTTCCCTCGTTTGGTATGCTTTAGTGAAGTGAGAATGTTCATTCCAACAAAAAGTGAGACTACCGATTCCATATGGAAAGGTAAGGAATAACTATTCCATTCCAACACGGAATCATCATAAAACAAGACAACGATCTCTCTCATAAAAATAAAAATAAAAAAACAAAACGATTGTTTTGGGAAAAAATATATATTTTTCTCTCTCTTCCAATCTCTCTCTACTAATACTTTCACATACTAAACAATCAGTCATAGATAACTCCATCATTGTTCTTTTACTAGGTTCAATACATATATATATATATATATATATATGTATGTATATATATTTTTTTTAAATTATGTTTCAATTTTTTTACATGTTAGTTGTGAGGTATATATACATATGAAACTCTATGAAATCATATTCTATGTATAATATAATACACACACATACATACATATATGTATGTATGTATCAAGTTTTTCTTTTTCTTCTTTTTATATAGTTTGTTTGTATCTTTTTTTTTCTTTTTTTCTCTTGATTTAAATTTTGTTTCACATACACAAGAATGAGTGATTTGTATATTTCATTTTATGTTTTTTTTTTTTTTTTGCCATATGAACTAATTTGAAAAATTAATTTTTATTACATACGTAAACACTGCACAAGTAATTGTTATTTCTTGTTGATAGATTAATTAAAAAAATTATGCCTAAAAAAAATTAGCATTATTATTATTATTATTATTATTATTATTATTATTATTATTATTATTATTTAAAGTATATATATTTACTACAATCATTCTAGCATAAGTTACGTTTTTATTTTTTTCTTTCTTTACTGAAGAGGTTTTAATCCATATAATACTTGACTCTCTTTTCATCAGAAATTTGCTAGTTGTATGAATGAAAAATAATATTGGCACCTTCTTTTTACACTAAAATGCATATTTTATCTTATTTATCTATGTATTTTCATATCATTTGCATTAGGTTCAACTTCTTTAACCATACTAAAAAGTAGAAGTTAATATTATTATGTTAAAATTATGAACATTTTTATATTTTATCCAATCCTAAGGGAGGCTGCATAATTTGCCTTATTTTTTAACCTACTATGGGAGCATATTTTTGTGAATGACAACACGTGGTCAAGGTGGCACCGAAGTGCCAGCCGAGGTGCCACGTGTCCTGGTCATGGAGCCAAAGTGATCTCGGATAAGCCGAGGTCATCTGCAAAGATACCGGAATCCGAGATGAACGGATAAGGGTGAGTCCTAAAATGGGGGAAGATCTCAATCTAGATAAAGATAAAACTCTTAGGAAGTTTATCTTTATCTATTTGAGAGTCCAGAATGAGCATTGAGCCAGAGTCCATTGAAGTTAGGCTTCTACAGGGATTACATGCTATAAAAGTAAGGCACCCTCGTGAGTCTAAGCACTACAACAAAGCTAACTATCTACGACATCATGTTTACGGCATGCATTAAATACATGTCATAGTTAGTACATTCTACGATATTTTTTTTTTTACAAGTCGTTAATTTTTTGTCAATAACAGTATACATACCATGTAAGTCGTTGATTCATATATTTATAGCATGCAAAAGTATGCCGTAAAAAATGTATGTTTTTACGACTTATAAAAATATGTCATAAAATATTTACACTTAAGACGACATACATTTTATGTTGTAAAATATTATAACTTTATACAACATGTTAATGAATGCCGTGAAAACTTCTAGAAAAAAAAAATAAAAAATAAAAATCAATCCGATTTTTTTATGGCATGCAAAAGTATGCCGTAAAAAATGTATATTTTCACGACATACAAAAATATATTATAAACTATTTGCATTTAAGACAACATACATTTCATGTCGTAAAATATTAAATTTTATATTTTTTTAAATTTAGTGATTTTTTTAGAAAATTAGAAAATATTTTCCTTCTAAATATATGTAAATTATTTGAATTTAAAAAGTAAAAAAATATAGATTTTAAAACTTACGCCACACTCCCTCTCATTCTAAATCCATACCTGTTTTTGTCCCAAAATCCTCTTATTCTCCAGAAAAATTATATTTTAATTATAAATAGTAATAAAAAAATTCTAAATGTTCTTAAATATTTATAAATTTCTAGTAGATATGAGAAATTTTTATTTTTTTCCCAATAAACTAGATATTCTAGTTACAATCTAGATTTTTTTAATAACAAAAATAATTTATATATGTTCACAGCTTGCAAAAATATGCCGTGAAATGTTGACATGCATTTTATGTTATAATATATCATAATTTTACACGGCATAAATTACTATGTAGTGAAAATTCTTACTAAAAAAAATGTTAAAAAAAAATTTATTTTCACTTTCAAAAGGTCATAATCTTATAATATTGTTAAAGTTACCCATTCTTTACCTTCTAGATTTTTTTTTATTAATATTATTTTTGCTTACTCTTAGGCCTTGTTTGGCATTCCTTAAAAAAGTCAAAAAGTCACTATCTTATTTAAGTAACATCATCTTATTTAAGTCATATCACTTCTCTACCCCATCACAATTTTTTTATTTATAAAATCTAGTAGATATTCTATTTATAATGTACAATTTTTTAATACAAAAATAATTTATAAACTTATACTTAAAATCTTTTTGTCTAAAATTTTTTACTTTAATTTTTATTTACTTATTAATATTGTTAAAGTTACACATTTTTTTACTTTCCAGTTTTTTTATTTTTATTGTTTTATTATTAATATTGTTACTTATTAATATTGTTATATTCTTTTACCTTCCAGAATTTTTACCTATTAATATTGTTGAAGTTGCACATTCTTTTACCTTCCTAGAGAGAGAGAGAGGTCCGATTGATTTTCTGGATTTCAAAGCCCTAATTTTTTGGAACATTCATGGCTCATCATTCATCATCACCACTCATCTTTAAACTCATCATCATCACCATCGCCTTTACTCTCATCCCAATCTCATCATCCCTTCCCTTCATCTTCCCCACGACAATCAATATATATATATATATATATAATTTTTCATTTGGATAGTGTTGTTATGTAATTCAATTGATCTATTGATGAGCTGATGCGTCTATCTTAAGCTCATGGTTTATTAGTAATTGATTTTTCTCAATTTTTGTATATAATAGTTCATCAATTTCATGTGTGTATTCAAAGTGATTGTATAATCCAGTTTCGATTGCGCAACTTCGTACCACCTCACAAGGTATGTCATTCACTTTCTCTCCCAATCGATCAATTTCTCTTTGTCTCTCGATCATTTTTTCCCAAAAACTTTGAATTCATCATTTGATATGAAGTCTATTCTCGAAGACGACAACGAAAATTTGAATGTCAAGGCCATCGATCGAGCCACTCAAACTCTATGTGCATTGAAGGACTTGAAGTCCAAGAAATCAATCTCTTTGAAACTGCGCAAAAACTTGGCTTGTCCTAAGGAGTTTCATTGCCCTCTTTCCAAGGAGCTCATGAGAGATCCTGTTATTGTCGCCTCTGGTTTGGTTAGTTCTCTTCCAATTAGGTTTTTTTTTTTTTTTTACAAATTTTTATATTTATGTATATAATAATGTATGCATTTTCATGTGTTGCTTGATCAATTTTGAGGTCATTTTTATGGTGAATTTGGTTATGGTTGTTGATGTATATGAAATTTGTGGACTTTGAAGTGGTAATTCTTTGATTCGGTGAAGATTTTGTTATTCCTTTTGCTCCCGTTCTTGGTAATTTATTTATTTTTTTCGTTCGTTTTGAAAAGTCTGATTTTGTGACAGAAGCTCTCCATATTTAAGCTGTTTGACATTGATAATCCACTGAATTACCTTAACTGAGGTGTTGGAACTATTTCACTTCATTTTGCAGTTATTTTACTTGTAGCAAAACAATGCCTAGCTCACTTGGTCATGAAGAACAAGATGCCAAAACCTTTGCTTCGTGGGTATGATTTTAGGAATTATGTTTATGATGCCAAAACCTTTGCTTCGTGAGTATGATCAAGCAACGAATTAACACACGTTTCTTCGTAGGGTATTGATTATTTGAAGTATGATAACTGTAACACCAATGGTACAAGATTGTTACTGTCATTACAGTTCAACATCATCAATTTATTATGTGAATTTCTGTTTAAATTACCAAATATCTCACTACAAATTATTTTGCATTTCTCTTCCTCATGTAGATACCCTGTAATGGCCTGAGCTTTAATGAAGGCAGGCTGTCCTATCTTCTTCTGGCTATATGAATGGTGATCCTGGTTTTTCTTTGACTATGTGTTTTTACTGCTCTTTAATAAATTCAGTTTTAAACTCATTTTGACATAATTTTCCGTCTATATTGTATGTGTTTATTATGGGAGACCTGCACCCAGCTTTATAGGGTGCTGAGGTTAGAAATACTTGGAGAACTACTAATGATATTTCTGATACATAAGAACTCAGGCCCTGCGATATTTACATCGGCGACTCCTTCTGCCTGTTTGTTGATGGGAGTTCAAATCGTCCAGAAGCGGGGGCAGGAGTAGTGCTAGTATCACCAGATGGGCGGATGCTGGAACAATCTATTCGTTTGGGGTTTAAACCCTCAAACAACGAAGCAAAATATGAAACACTAATCGCACGATTGAAGTTGACAGCAGCAATGGAAACTGACGAGGTGGTGGTCTTCTGTGACTCCCAGCTTATCGTTAACCAGGCAACAGGCGAATACGCAGCCTGAGATGAAAGAATGATGGCCTATGTAAAGGAAGTTGTCAAACTGGTAGCCTTATTCCAAGATTGCCAACTATAGCAAATTAGCCGAGATGACAACAACCATTCTGATGCCTTGGCTAACCTGGCTAGTGCAATGAAATTAAGAGAGGCAAGGACAATAATGATTGACTATTTGCCAGGCCCAAGTATAGAACCATTGAATACAAAGTATGAAACAATATGTATGGAAATGGGACCAAGTTGGATGGATGCGATAGTAGTATTCCTTAGAGATGGGAAACTACCAGATAATCACAAAGAAGCACACAAGATCAGACTGATGTCGGCAAGGTTCAATCTGACAACAGAAGGACATCTTTACAGAAAGTCTTTTACTGGTCCCCTTTTGAGATTTGTGCATCCTTCACAAGTTGAAGACTTCCTGTATGAAATGCACGAAGGAGTATATGGAAGCCACGCTGGGGGTAAGTCACTTGCTCATAAAGCCATTACTAAGGGGTACTGGTGGCCCTATATGCAGAAAGATACTGAAACTTATGCCAGAAAGTGTAAGAAGTGCCAAAGGTTTGCACCTTTGATACATCAACCAGCAGCAGATTTAAACCCAGTGTCCAGCCCATGGCCATTCGCCTAGTGGTGCATGGATCTTGTTGGACAACTGCCTCAAGCGACTGGAAAAGGCAGTTCCTACTGGTAGCAACTGATTATTTCACAAAGTGGCTAGAAGCAGAATCCCTCGCAAAAATTCAGGACATTGATGTAAAGATCTTCATATGGAAGAATATCATCACCGAGTTTGGGATCCAAAGGGCAATAATAGCAGATAATGGCACACAGTTTGACAGTAAGCTAATCAAGAACTTTTGTGCAAAGTACAAAATCAAGAACTACTACTCCACTCCAAGCTTCCCTCAAAGAAATGGTCAAGCAGAAGCGTTCAACAAAACTATCTTAGATGGGATCAAGAAGAGGCTGGAAGCAGCAAAGGGAAAATGGGTGGAAGAGTTATCCAATGTACTCTGGGCATATCGGATTACGCCGAGAAGATCAACTGAGGAATCCCCATTTGCCATGGCTTATGGCATAGAGGCAATTATCCCATTAGAAGTAAGCATCCCAAGGATCAGAACCCAAGGAGTAGAGAATAGGACTAATGAGGCATTCCTAGCCCGAGATCTGAACCTGTTGGAAGAAAGAATAGAAAGAGCAGCAATTCGGCTAGGGGCATACCAGCAACAACTTGTTAAGGCTTACAACAAGAAGGTTAACCCAATAGAATTCAAAGTTGGAGACCTTGTGCTGAGGAAAGTAGTCGGCAACAAGAAGGATCCCAAAGATGGCAAACTTGGCCCAAATTGGGAGGGGCCTTATAGAATTGTCTTGGTTGCTGGTAATGGTGCATATTGGCTTAAGGACAGTGATGGCAAAGAGTTGCCAAGACCCTGGAACACCTGCAACTTGAAGTTTTTCTATCACTAGATCTTTTATGTTTTTTTTTTTAGGTTTATGTTATAATTTAACCAAGGTATTAATAAAGTTTTAGTTTGGTAAAATTGCAATTGTGTGATCGGACTAAATAGTCCTATGGCGATGTTTTTTATTGAAATATGACGAACAACTTAGACTTATTATATGGCTAAATTGAATTATACTTGCATATAATAGAGTTAAACTAAGTCAGCGATTTTTCTGATTGAAACATAACGAATAACTTAGACTTATTATATGACATAGTTGAATTATACTTGCATATAATAGAGTTGAACTAAGTTGGTGATGTTTCTGAGTGAAACATAATGAATAAATTTTACTCGAGTATTGGTATGGCGCCTTTCGAGGCTTTATATGGCAGGAAATGTCGATCTCCTATCTGCTGGGCAGAAGTTAGAGATGGGCCTTTGCTTCGGCCCGAGATTGTATAGCAAACCACAGAAAAGGTGAAACTGATTCAACAAAGATTGAAAACCGCACAAAACCGACAGAAAAGTTATGCGGATGTCCGAAGGCGAGACAGGGTATACGAAGCAGGTGATCATGTTTTTGTTAAAGTGACACCGATGAAAGGACAGACTCGTTTTGGAGACAACAGTAAGCTAGCGCCGAGATATGTCGGACCCGATGAAATCATTGAGAAAATTAATCCGGTGGCATATCATGTAGCGTTTCCTCCTGAAATGGAGCATATGCATAATGTCTTCCACATTTCAATGTTGAGGGATTATATTCGGGATCCCTTCCATGTGATTGAGCCTACCCGTGTAGTGCTAAGTGATGACTACACTTATGAAGAACGACCTATTCAGATTATAAACCGACGGATCAAGAAGTTGAGAAACAAAGAAATTCCGTTAGTGAAAGCGGATTGGCAAAACCACAGTGGCACTTATGCCACTTGGAAAAGAGAAGATGATATGTTGAAGAGATATCCTGAACTATTCCCCTTGAATCCAGTATTCTACCAAAATGAAGGTAATCCGAGTTTGGTGGGCCAAACTCTTTTAAGAGAGGAAGACTGTGACAACCCTCACCTCTGAATACTGCTAAACTGTGACTAAATATGATAAGTAACTGAGTAGGAGGAAATCCTATACTGATTGCATGAGTGTATTGTCTGTAAATGCATTTCTATCTGTTTGACTATTAAATGATCTGTTCATGTTTTATCTTTGAATTGAATATAGAAGGTCCTATCGGCGACCGAATTAGAAATCGATTGGTATTTTATGTTAATTAGAATTTATGTGATTTGATGGTAGTTTTAACTTAAATTTGATTTGGAATGATTTAATTAGATTAAATAAAGTTCAATTACATTAGTTTGCATTTACTACCATTTTGCTATTGGGTGGGCTAATGCTAGGTCACTACTTCTCACACTTCACACATGTTTGATACATCACACTTCAGCCCTCTTCTTGTAAACGTGAGAGTGAGGGAGAGAATTGGGAGAAGTTGAATTCAACAAGGAGTTTTGCTTGGAACTTAGCAGAATTTGAAGGAAATTTGAGAAGTTAGGCTCCTACATCTAGAATTCAAGATTTAAGGTAGGCAATTCTTCCTCTTAATTATGGATTTGAGTTAGTTCTTGCATGGTTCATGAGTCATTAGTGATCTAAGTCAAGATTTGGTTTAAAGAGTTGAATTTGAGGGTGAATTCATGTATGCATGTTCACATTCTTGAGTTTTGAGGTCTTTCCGTGAAATTTACTACATGCATGTTCATATTTTGATTATAGTTCATGAATTCATCATGTTTTTGAGTGAATTGCCTTATTTAATCAAGTATTTGAAGTTTTTACTTCAATTGAACACTTGCATGTTACATATACATTATGTTTATGAAGTTATGTTTGGGTTTGTGATTAATTGAACTACCTTTGGGCTTTGATTTTGCAAATTGATCTTTGAAACATGTCATATTATGAGTTTTAAAGTGTTTTCCAAAAAATTAGCCCAAAAGGATTGGATTTGATGTTTGAAATGTTGAATTTGAGTTTGGAGGTTCAATATGAAAATTTCAGATTTTGGACCCACGCTCGAGCGTACAATCTGAGTACATGCGTCCCGCTCAAGCGAGTAAAGTAACGCTCGAGCGTGAAATGCATGTATCCAGTACTTTTCATATGCTTACAGTCCACTCGAGCGAGGGAATGCACGCTCGAGCAAGGACTTGTGTCTCACGCTCGAACGGAGGTCGAGCGCCCATCGAGCGTAAATTGCATACATCCAGTACTTTCTCCTGCATTTGCAGTCCGTTCGAGCGGGGAAAGTCACGCTCGAAAAAATTTAAAAACATAAACTAAAAAATATGTTTGTTCAGGCTTAAAATATTTATATTTATTTTTATTATTTATGACAATAGAATCACACACATTATAATTGAAAAAAATTTCATTAAAAGAAATAATTGAAAAAAAATTTAATTGGAAAAAACATTAATTGAAAAAAAAATATTTGAAAAAAAAGATTAATTGAAAAATAAAATATTTGAAAAAAAATTAATTGAAAAAAATTAATTGAAAAAAAAATTAATTGAAAAATAATTAATTGAAAAAAATTATTTGAAAAAAAAATTAATTGAAAAAAAAAATTATTGAAAAAAAAATATTTGAAAAAAAAAATATTTGAAAAAAAAATTATTCGAAAAACAAATTAATTGAAAAAAAAAATTGAAAACTGAAAACGTAAACTCATTTTTACCTCAAATTTATAAACTAAGACAACCATTTATAAATCAAAAAAAAATATCAAACAAGTTTTTATGACAACTTTTAAAATTTTTGTAAATATAAACTGAAAACTAAAAACGGAATGTTACCAAACAGACCATAAAGAACTCACTTCTCAGTTCTTGGTCATTAATAAAGCAGATTGCAGTCTTGGACAGATCGACCGATGTGTGATGACCTCGGTAATGAATAATAGAGTAAGTTTTTAGCCGACATGCTTTACGGACAAACGATATGGGTTCCATCACCTCAGGATGTCGAAGTAATAAATCCTAGGGAACAGTTATGGAAACATATTTTTGTGAATGACAACACGTGGCCAAGACGACACCGCAATGCCAACCGAGGTACCACGTGTCTTGGTCATGATGCCGAGGTGATCTCGGATAGGCCGAGGTTATCTGCGAAGATACCGGAATCCGAGATGAACGGCTAAGGGTCAAGAGTCCTAGAATGGGAGAGGACCTCAATCTGGATAAGATAAAACTCTTAGAGAGTTTATCTTTATCTATTTGAGAGTCCAGGATGAACATGAGCTAGAATCCATTGAAGCTAGGCTTCTACAGGGATCAGGTTAGTGCAGGCTATAAAAGTAAGGCATCCTTGTGGGTCTAAGGTACGTTTTTCGTATTCTGGATAGTGAGTTAAGCACTAATTGCTATCTGTGAGAGATAACCAAGTACTGAATTGATCGTCGGAGTGTCCCCGAGTAGACGAACTACTACCGGAGTCTTATCTTTCTGTGGCAGGTTGTTCGAGCGAAATCTATTCTGCCGGTGCTCTCTAGCTGGGTACCTATCAAACAGTGTAGTAAAAAATCAGCACCCACACCTACTAATATTATCAGAGCTAAAATGGGCTTAGCATACTAAAATTAGTCGGTTATTTATTCATTTATTCATATATCATATTATAATGAAATCCAATTAAAATTAAATTAATTATCAAAAGTCATGTTTGAAAGACCTGCTTTTAAGTCCCCTTTTATAAGAAAAATGAGTGAGACCTCCAATTTTGGAAATTCTCATGACCCCCAAAATGATTTGGACTGTTTTGTTTTGTTTTTTTTTCCTATTGTATCTCTCTTCCATTAGTGGTCCATATCATTTTAGGGGTTATATGATTTTCCAAATTTTGTGTCTCAAACATTATTTGTGTTTGGTTTGAGTTTTCTGGATTAAATTTTTTAAAAATTGAGTTTTTTTATTTTCGTGTTTTTTTGTTTTTAGTGAATATTTTTAAAATTTTAAATATTTTTTTTTACTTTTTTAGATGCACCTTACTTAGATGTGTCTAAAAAGTAAAAAAAAAAATGTGAAAAAATATTTTAAAAAATTAAGAAATACATAAAAATATAAAAAATGTACTAAATTCTTGTATTTTTTTGTATTTTTGGTATTTAGTGAATTTTTAAAAGATTTTTTTTACAATTTTTTTACTTTTTAGGTGTATTTATGTTAGGTGTGTCTAAAAAGTAAAAAATTTGCATAAAATATTTTAAAAAA